TCTTTCCTTCCCTCCACACCACACCCCCTTCTAAGGCTCTTCCATTAAATCAAACTAGTTATGCTTGAAAATGCCCACAGGATAAAATCTAAACTTCTTGGGAATTCCCTGGTGGTCCAGTGGTTAGGGCTCTGTGCTTTCCCTGCTGAGGGCCCGGGTTCAATCCCTGATTGGGGAACTAAGATGCCACAAGCCATGCAGCACAGCCAAAATAAACAAATAAATAAATAAACTTCTTTGCTGGGTATTCAAAGATCTGCATAATCTGGCCCAGCCTCATCTTCCACCATCACATCCCATGCTGACCTTCTCACAGTTCCCTTTTACATAGTGAGGCTTCACCCTTACTGTCTCCTAGGCCTGGAATATTCTTGCCGCCCCTCTCTGCCAGTCAATCAAACCCCCTTCTCTTCCCTTGTCACCCGCTTCAACACCATCTCTTTGGTGACATCCTTGGGCAGTATCTCAGAGCTCAGTACTCTTATGCGTCTTACAGAATGCACTGCAGAGTTCATTGCCATTTATCTTCTTACCAATGACACCCTCTATCCAGCTCTTAGGAATGACTAAATATTCAAAGAATGAATGTGTGGCCCTAGATCCAGCCTGCTGGGTCCTCCTGTCTCTGCCCCTGAATTTCAGAAGATTCTTTTCGCTGGACCACACAAGATCATAAAGGCTGGAAAGATTCCATGTGACATCTTTCTCCTCACTCTCTACAGCTCAGGGTGAAGAAATGGACACTCTCTTTCCCATTTCTCTGCAAAGAAAAACATGAAAGGAAAGTGGAAGCAAAACCAAACAGAATATGGCATGAGAGTGTTGATGGAACCACAACATACAGACTGCAGGGGCCTTAGCAATCACCTCAAGCAAATGTCTTCCTTTTATTCATGAGGACACTAAGGCCCAGAAAGGGGAAGAGGACTGTGTAGGGTGGAAACAGCACCGGCACCCAGGACCTCTGATTCCCTGTCCAGGGATCTGGCCTTGTTCGGTTGCCTCCCAACTCTGTCCTAAGCTTTCCTAGGGACTGAGGGGTGGCCCTGTTTCTGGGTCTCTGGGTCAGCTCACAGTTATCTCCCAAACAGGCTCAGGCTGCTTTCCTGGGACGAGGAAGTTAAGAGGCTCAGCACGAAACTTCATGACGAGGCAGCGTCCTTCGCTCATGCAACCTTAGGACAGCAGTGCGCCCAGGGCCTGGTTGCAATTCCCAACTGCACCGACTGGCTTGGGGCTTTCCAACGTGAGCCTCACCAAGGGCAGCGACTCATCCTTTGCTCTCCTGCGTCTGCCACCCCGTCTCTGTATCAGACACAGAGGCCGCTCCTACACAATACTCCTTCCCTCCCCACTCCCTGCACCTCCCACTTCCTCCCAGTTAGTCATGGTGAGGTCACACTCAGCCGCTGGCTCCCAGGCCTCTCTCTAAGGACGATGTGTACGTTCAGGAAGACGGGAGTTGAGAGACTGCAGACGATGCTGCTGCAAGGCATCATGGGTAAAATGAGCTCTGGAGTCAAAGAGATGTGGGTTCAAGTCCTGGCTCTGCCAGCTGACCAATCTGAGTGACCTTCAGTAGATTACTTAATCTCTCAAATCCTTTGCCTAATCAGGTGGGGCTGCCTGGGAGGCAATTTCCTTACCTGTATAAGGGGGATAGTAACACTTGGTATACAGTGAGAATCAGATGAGACAAAGTGCCAAAAGCACTTTGCCCAGTGCCTCGGGGTCACCAACGTTGGTTTACTTCCCTTGTTACGAAGCACGAGGGTATCACTGTCAGTGCAAGGGCCTGAGAAATCCTGATGCCCACCTGCAGGCCCGCAAGTGAACTGGTGAGAATGTGAGGGTGCGGGCCTTGGTATCTGAGGCATCCGAGAGACAGTGAGAGGGAGCGAGGAGGGCCTTAGGGAGGGTGTGGACATGTGTGCTTGTGCACAGAGAAGAGCTCCAGTCTAAGTGTGTAAATGAGCGTGACCAGCTGAGCCTCTCTTCCTCCAAAATTCCAACCTCTTTAAAGAAAAGATCTTTATGTGTCTGTTCTTGTCAGTAATGAGAAACGCAAAAACCCTTCCCAGGGGAGGGTGGAACTGCCCCCTTCCCACGAGCCTCATCGAAGGGAAGTGAACGCTAGTGAGGCCCTCCCCTGACAGAAGCCAGGAAACTTTCTCCCAACTGGTGGGGAAACCATACCCCAAAGGATGTTCAAAGGGCCGGGGCCTCTCTGTAGGCTGCTGGGGCCAGAGGGGCTGTCCCTAGCCTTGTCCTAAGCACGAGGGTTTCCCAAGCTCTAGAAAGATCACACAGGCAGCCAAACCCACCGGGCCTGTGCAGCGGGTCACCTCCGGGCTGGGCTGGTGCCACCACCTCTTGGTGTGGGATGGGCTCCTCCACATCTCGTCCAAGGGACCATGAGAGGTGGACCCTGGGCTGGGACCCTCGGAAAGCACAGGCAACAGGCCACATCCCAACCTGCCGAGGGCTCCTTCAGGATCACTTAATCCTCGGGAATGTCCTCCATCCTCCTGCCCCGAAAACAAACCTGGCCAAACTATCCCTTAGATGAGGATCTGTCTCATCTTTAAAGACCTTGAGAGAGAAGCTGGTTCCACAGTCTCCCTCCCTTGGTAGCTCTTCCATTGTTTGATAAGCCACACTGGCTGCAAGTCCTTCCTCGTAGCTCACCTAGATGCGTCTTTAACTGAAGCCTACCTCTGTCTTAGGTCTTGAGGGGAGAGGGAGAGTAGTTGGCCTCCATGTGTTAGCAAAATTCCCCAATGAACACAATTGCAGAAGTTGCCTAAGAGGTTTTGGGTTAGGACTCCAGATTGTTCCTCTCCGACTGTGAAGGATGTACCCAGAGTTAAAAGCCTTTCAGGAAACGTTAGTAGGGACTTCAAATCACTCTACAGATAAAGGAGGATAAGAACATATGTCTGAGTTTGACCTCCACCCCTGGCTTGCTTCTAAACTTGGACTCTGGATATGAGTGGGAAGGACCCCTAGTGAGTATCAAATGTATCCCCAGATTGCGGTTGTCTTTCCTTCCCCCTGGCTGTCTCCTTCTCTAGCCCACTCTTCTCTGCTTGACAAACTCTACTGACTCTTCAGAGCTAGAATCAAATATCACCTCCTCCGTGAAGCCTGCCCTGAGCTACCGGGGAGAACGAAGTATTCTCATTTCTGTTTGACACCATATGCTTTTTACATGCCTCCAATAAAGCATGAATGAGATTGTATTATAATTATCCACTCAAGAGTTTCTCTCTCCCCTCCCCTCTCCCTCTCCCTCTATCTCTATCTCCCCCACTCCTCAATCTAGACTGTGAGCTCCTCCAGGGAAGAGATCATGTCTTAATTTCCTTTGTATTCCCACATCTGGCACAGTACGTGTTCCCTCCCCCACCCCAAATTTATGAAATAAATTAATTTTTCAGCTGAGAAAACTCATACTAAAAATATTAAGTGACTTGACCAAACTTATACAGCTAGCTGGTGGCCCAAACGGGACCCAAATCCAGGCTTTCTGACTTTGTTTCTAATTCTCACGTCTCTGCCTCACTCTAGGGCCCAGTGTTGCTTCCTGCTTGTCTCCAATTTAGACTTTGTCCCCCCAGTGAACCCTCCCACCATCTGCCTCTGACATCACACCTTGTCTTCGCCCTCAGCCCCCAATCTTCCTATCAGCCTCTAACTTCAATGGGAAGGTCCTCTCTTCATTCACCCTCCTCTTTACACATCCAGATCTACCCATCTTTCAATCCATCCAACACCACCCTCCCCTGGCTGAAACCCTCCCCGACTATCTTGAACTCCACCCAGCTCGTTCCTTTAAAGGCGCCCAGCTTGTATCTCCATTGTCCCACTGAGCTGGGTTACACCCTCCTTCCAGAGCTCTTTTTGTCCTGGCTCCCCTGTTTTGTCCTCTATCTTCTTCTTTTAAATCAGGAGTTCCTTTGGCTATTTACAATAGCCAGGACTTGGAAGAAACCTAACTGTCCATCGGCAGATGAATGGATAAAGAAGATGTGGCACATATATACAACGGAGTATTACTCAGCCATAAAAAGGAACGAAATTGAGTTATTTGTAGTGAGGTGGATGGACCTAGAGTCTGTCATACAGAGTGAAGTAAGTCAGAAAGAGAAAAACAAATACCATGTGCTAGCACATATTACAGAATCTAAAAACAAACAAAAAAAAGGTTCTGAAGAACCTAGGGGCAGGACAGGAATAAATACGCAGACGTAGAAAATGGACTTGAGGACACGGGGAGTGGGAAGGGTAAGCTGGGACAAAGTGAGAGAGTGGCATGGACATATATACACTACCAAACGTAAAATAGACAGCTAGTGGGAAGCAGTCACAAAGCACAGGGAGATCAGCTCGGTGCTCTATGACCACCTAGAGGGGTGGGCTAGGGAGGGTGGGAGGGAGGGAGACGCAAGAGGGAAGAGATATGGGGACATATGTATATGTATAACTGATTCACTTTGTTGTAAAGCAGAAACTGACACACCATTGTAAAGCAATTATACTTCAATAAAAATGTTAGAAATAAATGAATAAATCAATCAATCAGGAGTTCCCTGAGGAACCCAACCCTCCATCTTTTGTACCTTCACAAATTCCTGTACACATAGTCAGGCCACGCAAACAGACTTGCCCAAGAGGCAACTCAAGCTGAGCTTTGATGGGAAAAAAGTTGTGGTCTTAGATTCCAGACCACATCCAGCCTGCAGATAATCCTCAATAGGGCTGTGCTGTCAGTACTCTTTTGAGGACATAATGAAGAGGTGACCCCAACGTTGGATTGTGGATTGGGGGAGGGTTTGGATGCCAAAGCCCTTGAAAGACTCCTTTCAATTCTGAGAGCTATGAGTCTATGAATAAACACCCTCAAACTTCCCTTAATCTTCTTTGTGTCCCCACACCTAACACAGTATGAATGACCCCCAAAATTTATAGAATAAAGGTTTTCTTCTGAATGTCCTTACCTGCCTGTTGAAATCTAAGCCGTTTCGATCATTTCCTGGAAGAGATTAAAAAAAAAAAAAGAAGACATTAATAGCTAGCAGGATTGGAAGAGACTGAAAGTTAGTGGAAAATAGGATGTTGGGATGGGCTTATCTTTATTTTGAAAAAGAACAAAAGCCTGCCCTGTGGCCAGAATCTTCCAGCTTATCCTGTTTCCTGGAAAAGTCTTTGGAAAATCTCCTTCAGGAAGGTAGGTAACCAGGGAAAGGGGAGACTGACTTGTCCAAGGTCACATAGAGTCTCACTGAGATTAGAACTTGCCACACCAGATTGCTTCTGCCAAATGCCCTCGGACAGAAGCTGTGATACATGCTGTAATGGAAAAGCAAGGAATGGCCAGCTACAAATCCTAAAGGAATTGCCCGAAGGCAGGAAGGCCTCCCGCTATCCCAGCCCTCCAGCATTGATGACACCTAAATCATGTCAGGTAGATGAGTGTCACCCCTGTTTCCATCCCCTCCCAACTTTCATTCTTGGTTTTATTCATCTTTTTCCCTTTATAATAAATGTTGGGTTGAAAAAGTAAATGTGTGCTTAATAGAGAAAACTTTTTGGTACAGAAAAAGTAAAAAGTAGCAGAAAAATCAATCTGCAGAGAGGCAGCTGCAATTAATATTTTTGTATATTTTATGGTCTTTTTATGCTTGTTTTTCCTCATTGATATATATCGCTCTGTACAGATTTTTTTTTTTTTTTTTTTTTT